ATCAGTTTTAAAGTTAAGTCAACCACTGAATACAAAATTACAGATGAAGGACCCTAGATCTTCCCAATTGCTTGATTTTTCTATGTGCTTTCTTTACCCAATTTAAAAGTTAAAATCCCTAAATTCCCAAAAAAAATCTACAAACTTAGAATATTTAAGGCCCAGCCAAAATGGGCTAAAATCCAGCCCATATCTACAAACTACTTAACAAGGGCCCATCTATCCTAACTGGCCCATTGCACCCCTCATCTTGCCTTTAGGCTTTCAAGAAGTTGCGGACTGCTACAAGCTCCTTAATTGCAGCCAACTCAAAGTTGGTGCTTCATTCATGCACTTCTCGCACTCTTAGTCTCTTTGGTTAGTTTCAAAGTGCAATCCTGCTCCACCAACAATATGAAGATCCAGTCTATGATTTCCTCCGGCCAACCTCATCCTCCACCATCTCCTCCATTTCCTTCTCCGATCTCAACATCACCGAGGTATGCATATTCCCCCCTCCCCAATCCTAATTATCTCATTTGAAAATTGAAATTCTTCCATTCATCTTATTTTTCTTCCTTTTTTACACTCTACATTTTCCTTTTTCATGATAGGAGCACAACATTGGGTTGCCGTTGCCGTAAATGTAGAAAATCGCGCCAGTTTTGTGTTCATTAAGGACTTCAGGATCGACAACAATGACTCTACAATTTAGGAGATCAGGATCGCTTTCGAGAATCTTGAAGACGACCTTGATTTTATTCATGCGAGCTTTGTTTTAATCTTTTTTTTTTTTCTACTTTGAGTTTGCTAGCGGTTTTAGTTTTAGTTTTTTTTTTTTTTTTTTTTTTTCATTTGGTTCTGTTTGATTGATGAAAAAATGAAGGGAAATCTCCATGGAAAATGCATCTTGGTGATTTAATCAGCTTGATTAATTTTGGAAAGTAAAAATATGATCAATTTTAGTTGCTGTTTCTTTTGTTTCATTCATATAGAGTGACATTTTCTTAGCTAGCTGGATAATAGCATTTAACTTATTATTAAAGAGTCACAGGAAGATGAAGGTTCTAAAGCTCTGAATTGAGCATTATTAAGGGCATATAGAGATTGCAGAGGTTAGCATAATTAAAATTGAACAAGATTGTATTGAATTGGTAGCAATAGTACAAATTTTGGAATCAAAGAAATGACTATAGGAGTTTAGTTGCAAGAGTAAGCTATTTTGGATGTTGTATGTATGTATAGTTAGTGGGCTGCATTGTCGTTCAATATTAGGATCGGGCTAATTTTATTAATTCACTCTTAAGCTGATTTAAGTATTGCACTTAATTCTAAATCAATATATTACTAGTCAGTTCCCACTGAAAGACCACTTTTGTATAAGTACGGAATCTTATCCCATAACTCAATATATCTTGTGGTCTGGATTAGAGTGCTGATGGTTAGAACTGAAATGGGGCATTAGAATTTCCCAAAAATTGAACAAGCTTGATTCACAGACGTGGATAGAATAATCATGTAATATAATCTACTTCTATAACATTATTCATAATTAATGGCATTTCAATATTCATATCCTTCAATTTTTCTTGTTGTTTATTATTCGGTATATATGACTTTCCAATTACTAGCAGAGTCTGGCTTTTCAATTCATACTCCATTAAATGCAGTTAAGATGACAACATTTACATAGATAATGCACATAGTTTTCCATGAAAAAAATCAAGAAATAAGCATGAAGAAACATTGTTTTCTATGCATAGTTAGTGGGTTGCATTGTAGTTCTTTCTTTGCTGCTTGGTTCTTATCAGGTATATGTGATGGTTGGTCCAGGAAAAATGAAGATTGAAACAAATAATCAAGAGATATGTCAAGAGTTGGAAGTACCATTTTTAGCAATTAAGAGATAATGTGGTGGTTGTTACATTAGTGTCTTTTTTGTGATTTGAGTTCTTAGTAGACTGCTTAATACCTATCATTTATTATATTACTTTTACATTTAATTACATGGCTTATTAATCTTCTAGGAGCTTTTGGAATAATTTTCAATATACTGAAGTAGATAACTCATTATCTATGATGGAAGAGTAAATAACTAAATATTACTTAAGGTTGTGTGGAGAAAAATTACCATTTTTTATTTTTTATACAATTCTGCGGGATTTTTTTTTAGTCATGTTACAGATGTAAGTAAAATAAATTTAGTCCTTCCTCTAGAAAGTTTAATGGACATTTGAGTTGTTAAGTTTAATTTTGTTTCAATAATCTCTGTAGGCTGGTCTTTGCCCTTTTTGCTTTTTAGAGAAAAGATATTCATATGATTCCATTTCTCTACTTTTTATTGTCTGCAGTCATAGCAACTGTAATATTTTTACATAAACTTACAATCCATAGGCATTCATCATATGGCACTCTCAATTACATGTTTTGCCTCTTTTTTTCTTGCAATTTCAATAGGCTCCCTAAGCAGGTTTAAAGTTTTGCTACAATTTCTGCAAATGTTGTTCATAAATTTTTTTCATGATTATATTCATATACTTTTTCCCTTTTTATCCTAGAGGTGGCTGACTAACAAATACTTGATTGGTAATAATGCAGTAACCTATTTGCAAATAGTAAAAATTCCTGTATAATTCAGAGGCTTATCTTTTTTCCATGTTGTTATTGAAAACAGCCTTAAGCACAAGGATCTTTTCCTCTTGCACTATCCTCATCCACTTTTTGTCCGGTATTGTCAGCCAAGCTTACATTCTTCTTCCCAGACCATGTTGTTTAAATTATACAAAAAGAGAGAGGTTCGCACATCATTGGATATGTGCAGAAGGAAGAATCATCATCGACATATGGCTTGTTGCATTGCGCATCCTAGCTGTTCGAGCAGTGACTGTGAAACTTGCTTTATATCTTCACATACAGGTCTTTGTTTTCCCTCATTCTTTCCTCACTTGAAAATTGAATTGACTATAATATATCATTTTAATGGAATAAGTAACATAGTTTGTCCTTGATACTACATTCTATTGACATTTTATAATATATCCCTCCTAATCATGTTAGCAATTCTTTCAAGGGTTATTCCATGACTGCATCACCTATACTGCTGAACTCTACTTTTTCTGACATTTCCAGATCCGTGTACTTAGAGGACTAGCTGGCATTTTAAAACCCCTAACTTTTGCAACAGCATTGATAAAGTTCTTCAATTGTTATAGTATTGCTTAAAGTAAATGATTCTCTTTATTTTGATGTGTACTATACTCTCTTTTTGTCTGTTTTCTGCAATAATTCAACTTCTTGTAAACCAAAGTAAGAGTGTCTGTCCTATGTTCCAAATGGATTTTTGAAGGATATACAGACAACATATTTGGAATTAGATCCTATACAGAACAGCTGTAAAGCACAATTCGTGTTTGGATTGAAGTAAATGAGGGGAAAAGAAAGGAGAGAATTCCTTTGTTTAATTGGAGGAAAACTGGTTTCTTTCCTTTGTTTCTCTCAACCCAAACATGTAGTAACTTCTTAATATCCTTTTATTCTCTAATTTACCTTTGACAGGTTTTCTAGAGTTGTATTTCACTTCTTGAAATAGCATATGGTGTTGCAATTTTAGTTGGAACAGTGTCTTCCTACACCTGGAGCTAGATCATCACTGTATGTCTTTTTTTTTTTTTTTTGAAAGGCACATCACTGACTCCATTGAATAGATCCTTTGAGTAGGCATGCAGTGATTATGTGTAGTGACAATCTAATATTTACAGTACTTAGCTTAAAAAGTTGTGTTTGTTTCGTACTGTAGCAGCTATAAAGTGATCGTGTATAGTGGACCAACATTACTACACAACAGAGAGATAGACCCTTTCCAGACTCTTTTGCCTTCTGTAACAAAGGGCCTGCCTTAAACCCCACCTCTCTACTTGATGCCCAACTTTTGGCAGGTCATGCTTATCTAAAAGATTCCTAAAAAAACCATCGACATCTTGGTTTAGTGGTTGCTTTTTGTAGACATGTTTAAGTAGAAGCTTTTTTATTCTTTTATTTTAAAAAAAAAAAAAATCACTGAGACCTTGGACTGATTGCATTTTATTTTCAAGACCTTGAGAACATAACTAGGGAAGGGTCTTAATCACTAAGAACACAACTGGTGATACTAAGGTCTTAACCATTAGTGTTGTATATCACATCATAATAATGGGTATATTTTGGAGGTCAAATGGTGCATAGCAGAATCCTAGTCCCACTTTATCTTAAATATTATCTTCGACAAAATAATGCACCCAAACACGATCTTATCAACTGGGGAAAGTTTGATTCTTGGGAGCAATTCCCTCCATAAAAAGTGCATATCGATTGTATAAAACCAATTGAAGAAATAGGATGAATGTATCTGTTTGCTGCCCCTAGCTAATAATTGAAGGAATATATGAAACAAATGATATTAATTTTGAGACATGGTCTCGCCAAACCATCCCTAGAAATAGGGGGCATAATCAATGAGGCAAAGCGAATCGTTTAGGTTATGCATTAGTCAGTGCACATGTCCTCATGTTAAGTTTTGGTGAAGGCCTGCTTGTTTGTTGTCTAAAAGAACTAGGGCCTATTTGTTTATTTTATGGTTTGTGATGTTACTTGTGACTAAGCAAGTGATGTACTTCTTACTTCATTTTTGTTTTGTTCTTTTGGTTTTTCACATATGAACATGAGTCGTACATAAAATATATCAGTTACGTTGAAATAGAAGAAATAAATTCACGAGAAATTTGCCTCTCGTCCTTGTTTATTCCAAAATTAAACGTTATAAGAGAAAGAAAAGGGGCAAAAACAAATTAACATGAATAAGTGCTAAATATAGAACGTAGAAGTCTTTGTAAGCTCTCCTTAAAATATAAAAACAGTACTATTGGACCCAAAAAAAAAAAAAAAATTTGTAATTGTGTTCAAATAAATAAATAAATAACATGGTTGAAAAAGAACAGAGTGTGGCTTTTTGTCTTTCCATTATTATTATTATTATTTTATTTTTGCCAAGTCTCCCACATTGTTTCTAAATTATAATCCTGGAAAATAATTGTCTTTTTTAATAGTTGTTGATTAGCTTACTAACTCTTGCCAAATTTCCAATGATGCCATTTTGCAGTTGACCTTAGAAAAATGTATTCCTTGATTTTGAAAGCCTTGGTACCACTTTTCCTACCTGCTCCTTGCTAAATGCAGAAATCTCAGTTCAAGACAAACGATTATTACTTCAGCTAATTAATTAGAATCAAGATTGTCAATGACTCACGCATGCAGATTGTTGGTGTGCATGAGATCATATTCCTGTGTTTATCCTGATTGTTAGACTCACTGGTTAGTAAAGTTTGACAAATGAAAGTGTTCGTTAATTAGCACTTCTTATATCATCTGGTGATAAATTATATGATAAGAAATAATTATTTTTTTAAATACTTTTTAATTGTATTAAAGTTTGAATTCAAAATATCAAACCAACAAGAAAAAACACAAATTGTTACCAACTAAAATGCTTTTTTCAATGAATTAAAATTTATTAATTAAGAAGACAAGGGCTATTTCAATTTATAAACAATAAATTATCTTAAAATGTTGACTACCTAAAAGATTTCGTAAAAGTAAGGATCCAGTTTTTAAAAATTTTTATAATTAAAGATATAATATTTTTTTATTCATTAAGCCTACAGCTTTTAAAAGTTTCAAGAATATAACTTTTTTTGATTCATTAATTAAGAATATGGCCGTGCACATGCATCCACTTAATCATACTTTTTAGTAAAATTGTAAAGATTATATTTTGATTAAAAGTTGTTTTTTTTTAAATTATTTTTTTATTTCTATGAAATCTCGACCATTTGATATTGATGGTCTTATAGGGATAGGACATAAAAACAAACTCTTGCGTATTTTGCTCCCATGCTGCCAAACGCACGAAGCCAGCGTATGTAAAATGCGTGTTAATTAACCTGAATTAATAAATAAATAAATAAATGTTAATCAGTACGTACATATCTTTTTAAAGAAATTTTAATGACTAATAATATAATTAATTAATAATACTAACAACATGCCCGGTACTTTAATTAATATAATAGTAACACTATGGGTTTAAGCTAGGGTGATTAATTACATAATACACAAGGTTCTATCACGCGTAAAAATTATGTCCGTTTTATGCATATACAATCATCGAGATTGCGTGCAACACATTGCTAAATGATGAAACTAATAATAATTAAAAAAATTAAATAGTAAGTGCAATACTTGTACCGTTGTTTACTCTTATCTATTAATATAGTGTTGATGTATATTATTATCAATTTTTTAAAAAAAAGAAGTAAAATTAAAATATTTTAATTTTTTTAATATTTAAAATGTTAAAATTTTTTGTAAAATTATTCAAATATTTTTAACATTTTTTTGTATATTAATTTATTAAAAATATTTAAATTCTTTTATTATAATTAATTTTAATATTTAAATATTATTAAAACGTTTTAATTTATCACAATCACATAGATCTAATAGGTATTTTTTGTATTTTTTTTATTTGAGATGATGTTTAAACAAAGTATTTATTGGACTTTATTGGAGTTTCTAGGGATTTATATGTATCTTAGGTCTTAACGTTCCTAGATAAATATTGTCTGGTTCTTCCAATTGCCACCACTGACTATGGAAGCATGCAGCACCCAACAAAATTAAGAAACGAACCATGCAAACAGAAGCGTGCCTGCAACAGACTCTTCCCTAGATTTATTAATATTTTTTTTTTGTCAAAATTAATTTGTAAGTGCTAAATCATGAGTGCTTAATCCATCATTGCCTATTTTTTTTGAACATTTACAATTTGTGGGCAAGGGAAATTTGAAACCATTGTCAAGGTCTTGGTGATGCACCTTCACAACCAAATGGGTTGACAGTTGAGGTGCAATCATTGCGTATTAGATGTATTTAAGTGTCAATATCAATGTTTAAGTCTTTCTACTTTATGACTCTGTAATTGTGTTTAATTTACGGCGATTGTGTTTGGTAATATGAGAAGGG